GGTTGGGGGAGAATCCCTGATTGAGCAGTGAGGGAAGCCAGGCAGATCCTTGCTCTGCCTACAGTCTCCCCTGGAACTGTGACTATGGAGGGGAGGGGCAGGGCCACCTTGTTCTCTGGAGCAGGGCTGCAAAGCACCGGGGATGCTGGGGACTCTGATTTAAGTTAAACCAGGAAGGGGTCTGGGACAGACATTGCATAAACTGGTTTTACCCAAATCAGTTAAGTCTGATACAATATTCAACCAGGTTTATCTTAAATTGGTTTCAGCCATTTTGAAACTGGTTTATGTGCACAGAATTTATGTTCTGTTACGGGTTTAAACCAGCTTCTGATCACTTAAATCAGTTTATATGTAATGTCTGTCCCTAGCTTAGGGGGTGTGTCTACATGAGATGCTACAGCGCAGTAGCAACTCATTGCTACAGCGCAGTAGCAACTCATTGCTACAGCGCAGTAGCAACTCATTGCTACAGCGCAGTAGCAACTCATTGCTACAGCGCAGTAGCAACTCATTGCTACAGCGCAGTAGCAACTCATTGCTACAGCGCAGTAGCAACTCATTGCTACAGCGCAGTAGCAACTCATTGCTACAGCGCAGTAGCAACTCATTGCTACAGCGCAGTAGCAACTCATTGCTACAGCGCAGTAGCAACTCATTGCTACAGCGCAGTAGCAACTCATTGCTACAGCGCAGTAGCAACTCATTGCTACAGCGCAGTAGCAACTCATTGCTACAGCGCAGTAGCATTGCTGGGCAGTAACTGTGATGCAATGCTACCGCACAGTAGCTCATCACTACTGTGCTGCAGCATTGTAAAAAACATGTGGGGTAGGTACTGCACAGTAATGCTGGTTACTGCACAGTCATTTAGTACTTGCTTATGACGCTTGTATAGATGTGTTCAGGGAGAGATTGTCCAAGTTTATCTAAAGTAGAAGCTGAGCTAAAGTTTTGCCAAGAATGAAAACTGAAAAGGAACCTGAAACTCTCTGGGGTTTCAAAAACTCTTGGATATTTCCTCCCAGTAGTTTCTCATATACCACTGCCTTTCCTGGCTGGGTAATATGTTGTGAGTTCATCAACAACACTCTGAGCATTCCTGGGTTGAACTAACAGTTATTTATTATTATAATTCTCTGGAATCATATCCAGGGTGGATCTTAACAATGGCCCTCAGCAGATATATGCAGAACTTATATTTGCTCTGCCTCTGACTTGACCCATTCCAGTCCTGTGGAGGGAGAGGAACCAAGAATGCCTCTGGCTCCTCATGGCAGAGAACATGGAGTCCTCAGTGATGCAAAACTGCCACAAAGCAAACTGAACCCTGCAGTGCTGAACATGAGGACTTTGGCCTTAAAGGGATGGTACAAGGAAAACACAATAAGAGACAATACTCCTTCCCCCTGACAGAATAGTCAGACAAACATTTGGGAGGACTCCGCTTCTGCTGCGGTCTTCCCATAGAACTGGACTCAGTGAGGGGTTCAGCAGATGATGGGTCTGGAGACTCAACAGCAACACATGCTTCTGACGGTGATGGAAAAGGGTTTCAATTGGTGGAAACAGGTAGGCACTTTCTCAATGAATCCATGTCTTTCAGTGGTGGATTGGTGCTTGGAGATTGCTCAGGTTATCAGTAGGAGAACACCCATGAAGCTGGTCCACATGATGTCTCCAAACGTGTCATCAGTCAGGACTGTATATGATATGGGTCCTGTGGCTCTGACAATTTTGGATTGAACCCACTGTGGGCCCATCCCATAGTTCTGAGCAAACACAGTCTCTTGTGGAACAAAAACATGTAGGGTACCAGATGCCAATGTGGAGTCGAACTCCTTTTCTTTCCTAAACTGCATGTCTCTCACAAGGTCTGGGTTAACATTGTCAAGATATGTCGTGAGACGATGACCCATAAGAAGCTCTGATGGGTTGGACCCTGTTGTAGGGCAAGGAATTACATGTTGAGCAAACAGAAATCTGGCCAGTCTGGTAGGCCAGTCTCCTACAACAATCCTGTTCAGTGCATCTTTTGTAGTCTGCACCATTCGCTCAGCTTGCTCATTGGCCTCTGGCCTGTGAAGCGCAATGGTAACAGTTCAAATGAGGTTGTGGCTGGCAAAATCTTGGAACTCTGCTGAGGTGAATGCACTGCCATTATCAGAATGATAGTGTCGGGTACCCCATGGGTTTGCAAACAGAAGACGGAGAGGTGTTATAGTGGTAGTTGATGTAAAAGTTGAGACGGTAATCACTTCAAACCATTTTGAGTATGAGTCAACAACAATTAAGAAGTTCTTACCTTGAAAATGGTCAGTAAAATCAATGTGGATGTGTGACCAGGGTTCCTCTGTCATTTCCCAAGGGAATACTGGTGCCTTTGGTTGATTATGATGGGTTGCTTGGCAAATGCTGCACTCCCTTACAACCATTTCTAAGTCATTGTCCATACCCGGCCACCATACATAACTTCTATCCAGTGCTTTCATCCTCACAATGCCTGGGTGTGCTATATGCAGTGTTGTCAGCATGATTTGGTGTCCTGCTTCTGGAATTATGACACAATTTCCCCACAAGAGACAACCCTTATGGGCAGACAGCTCATGCTGACATGATGAAAATGGCCTGAATTCCTGAGCCAATCTGTCTGCAGGCCAGCCCCTCCAGACCCAGTTGAGGACACAGGCAAGGCTAGGGTCTTTTCAGTCATCCTTGCTATCTAATCAGCCTGAAGAGGAGCTTCTGGCATGGATTCTAGCACAAGGACTTCTGCTGGCAGATGAGTAGCACAATCAGGTATTTGTAGTGGTAGGTGGCTTAATGCATCAGCATTTGCAATAGTTTCCCCAGGTTTCTACATGAGTCATATCCATTTAGCATGTTGCTCCAGCATTGCATTTGGGGATATAAAATAGGAATTGGTTTGTTCATAGTAAAAATTCCAAGAAGGGGTTTGGTCCATTCGGATTTTGAATTTGCGGCCTTAAATGTAATTGTGACATTTTAAAACTCCTTCAATGATTGCCAATGCTTCTTTATCACTCTGTGCATAATTCCTCTCAATTGAAGCCATTGTTCTTGAGTAAAAAGCAATGGGTGCATCCGTGCCGTCAGGCAATGTGTGACTGAGGACAGCGCCAACACCAAACGGCGAGGTATCACAAGTAATGGACAGTGGCTTCTGCTCATTGTAGTGAACAAGGACAAGGACAGAGTCTGATGTCAGAAAGTTCTTGATGCCCTGGAAGGCTTCATTGTGCTGGCAAGTCCACTTCCACTGAGCTCCTTTATCCAGTAAGTGATAAAGGGGCCCTGCTATGGTGGCTTTGTCTTTCAAGAAGACGTGATAAAAATACATAAGTCCTAAGAATGCTTGAAGATCCTGTTTGCATTTTGGTACAGGGGCCATCATGTATTGCTTTTACCCTGTCTTCAACTGGGTGAATGCCAGAAACATCAATTTGATATCCTAGGAAGTTGATACTGGAAACTTCCAGTTGACATTTTTCTCTTTTACTCTGATACCTGATTTATTGAATCTCTGTAAAACTTCTCTGAGTCTCTCGGTGAGTTTCTCTCTAGATGGCCCCATGATCAACACATCATCAAAGTATGGAAAACCCCCTGGAATTCCTGCTAGCATTTTCTCCATGAATTGCAGGAAAATTCCTGGTGCCCCAGTGTGACAGGAGTGCCACTATTGGAGCCTCTCCGAGTATGGCTCCGCCCTCCTGTAATGGGCTAACCGCCTGCTTACTCTCCTGCCATGCCTTGATCTTATTTAATTAATAGATTGTTGTAATTAGCGGG